GTCCTTTTCGGCAGGGCTGCTCTCAATCCATTTGGCACCCGGTCTGTACTGATACTGGGGATTGCCCCGACTCAGGTGCAGGACCTTGCACTTGGCCTAGTTGAACTTCATGGTCCCACTTCTCAAGCCTGCCAAGGTCCCTCTGGATGACACCCCTTCCCTCAAGTGTATCAACTGCACCACTCAGCTTGGTGTCATCTGCAAACTTGTTTAGGGTGCACGCAATCCCACCGCCTACGTCATTGATGAAGATATTAAACAGTATTGGTATACCCAATACGGTATATCCATCCTGCACCACAAACCTTCCTACAGTGAAATCCGCACAGCGCCCGTTTCCCGGCAGGATTTCTGCCCCATCTCCAACCTGCTGGCAGAGCTGCTGAAGCACCAAGTGCTGCCCAGGCGGCGTGGCCGGGAGGAGGATCGGCAACGGAGGAGCCACCGGTGAATTTGGCCTCCAAGCAGATATCTATAGCACAGGACACCTGCATCCAGTACGACTCAGTAATCACCATCAGCTTTAGAGATTGCTCGGGACCCCCTGTGGCACACGGAGGAGCCGAAAGCAGAGGAGGCATCCAAAACCTCCCAAGGAGCATGTCCAGGACAGGACCACCATGGGCATCACGGCCAGTGCCCAGGCACTCCGCACCAGTCAGGCCTTGACCAGCTTGTGCCTATTCCCCAAAGAAAGGGATAGGACATATAGATATAGTCTATATATACAGATATTCAGACTAGATATAAGGAAGCAATTTTTTATGATGAGGGTGGTGAAACCCTGGCACAGGTTGCCCAGAGAGGTGGTAGATGCCCCATCCCTGGGAACATTCAAGGTCAGGCTGGACGGGGCTCTGAGCAACCTGATCTAGTTGAAGATGTCCCTGCCCACGGCAGGGGGGGTGGGCTAGATGACCTTTAAAGGTCCCTTCCAACCCAAACTATTCTATGATTCTATAATTCTATTTTATATATTTGATATAGGTATATAGAGATACATATAGAGAGATATGTCTGTATCTGCATAGGTATATCTATCCATAGATACATAGGATGTAGATATCGCTCTATATATCTTATATAGTTTCTATATAGTTATAGAAACCTGTATCTTATATATAGAAACTAAATAGTTTCTATATAGTATCTTGCATAGTCTCTATATCTACAATATAGATATCTCCCTATATAAAACATATCCTAGATATAGATATCTCTCTATATAAGATATGCAGAGAGGTATGTATATCTTAGATATAGAAACTCAGACTGAAGGGACTCCTGCCAGAAACAGGGTAAAAGGCAGAATTTGGTCTGTAAGAGAACAGAGGTGACCTCCTACATACAGATCCTATATGTAGGATACAGCTATCTTTCTTTGTAAGATATATCCTATAGAGACATAGCATCTATATCTAGAGAGATCTGCATCTGGAGGATCTGTATCTAGAGAGCCATAGGATCTATTCCCTACCTATATCCCAGATGATCTAGGATATAGCTCTATAGGATATCCATTACAGAGAGAGAGCTACACAGAGAGGACCTACACGCAGAGGACCACCCCAGGAGACACGAGGCACTTCCAAACCCTTTCCTAAATAACGAGCAGAGCCTCACTTTCCAGCTGGAGCTGAACTCTCTGGCAGGGCAATCACGCCTGACATCATCTCCAATTACTTATCAGCCAAGACGCAGCCCAGGCAGCTGCCTGCTCTGCCTCCTTGCCCTTTCCTGCCTGCTGCCTGCTCCCTTTCATCCCCCAGAGCCGCACCAGCCGGCTGCTGGAAGAATAAAAAACCTGCACCTCCCCCCAGATAAGATAACGCCGGGGGTAAGGGGAACCACGCGCATCTTCCACGTGGGATCAGGCGCTTTCATTCCCTGGATCCTTTAACGCCCGAGCGACAGGCAGGGAAGGCAGCTGCCGACTCAACCGTATGAGTCACAGT